TTTTGATTTTGATCTTATTTCTAATTTATTGATTATTTTAAACGACAAAAATTACTTTTTATTTGCGGAAAAAAAATTTCTACAACAAAACTTATCTCATCATCTACTTACGTATATCATATAAGTTGTTCAAGTGTTGCAAATTTTTCTGTTAACAATAATAAGGTAAGTTTTTTAACTCTTTGCTAACATTTGGAAAAATTTCACCAGGAATTCACCGGAATTCTGCTGCGATTCGCGCTTTAAAATCATAAATATTAGCAGCTTGTGTTCTATAAACAATGGACTTAAGATGTCCCCAAGGAAAAAAGTTTAAGGGTGTTCAATCCGGTGATCTTGCAGGCCATTCAATTGGTCCCCTTCTGCCAATCGATCTATCCGTACATACTATTCTACATTTTCTATGATCAATTTCAATTTTATCAAAACCGTTTTGGTGATATATATGATTCATATTAATTGATAACTGCACCTATTATTCTAAGGTGTAAATCATCAACATTTGTATCTGGACTTACAACATACAACCGTACAACCTTACACAATATTCTAAACTAACAATAACTTCAGAGAAAAGAATCAAGCGGCGTTAAGTAGGGGCTGTTAAGGGGCCATGAGATAATACCAGAGAATACCAGATCGTCCAATCCAGATTTCCAACTATTTCATTCAAAAAAGCGCTACCGGGCAGACGTTCTGGGGTCATATGAGACTTTTAATTGTCCATATTCATTAACAAATAATGTTCTCTTCTTTCTTCCAATAGTTTGCCATTTGCAATATCGTTTTTCTACATTCGTAATTTTGTTTCGAGATGGAACACGTCACTGCGGATACAGCGCATTATATTCTTTACTTGCGTCTGATGCATATTCTTTGTTTTCACTCGAGTATTTTACATTGACGCTCAGGGAGATGATTTCATCACGACTTTGAATTGTTGCTATTAATAATTTATAAAACGCAATAGTATAAATAAAACTGATTGAACAAATCTAGGCAATATACAGGGTGATTCAAAATTCGCGAGTTCAGCAGAGAACAAGGGTGGCAGGGTACGAGAAAACTAATTAAATAATTTGTTTCCTACATTTTTAGAAGATATTAACAGTTGAAAATCTAATTCCAGGTTTGTTGTTTAGTATTATTTTGAAATGGTCTCACGTTTGATTGGTAGTCTGTTGGAATACTTATTACATTCTTTACTTCATTAAAAAAATTAGTTAAAATGAAATTTAAAAAAATATTTTAGTTAATAATTGATTTCCATGAAAATCTGTTAATCTCCTACTCATATTACTTTAAAAAATTAATTCTGTAAATCACTGCTGCAATGGGTAATTAAGTACGCAACAATCAAGCAACAATCAAAAGCACTCTAAAGATAAAGGCATACCGATGAGATAAACCTGTCTATAAAATATGCAATGCTCTTCTCATTTAATTACTATTGTGCAAGTTGCGGGATAATTGTAGTTAAATGAAATTTCGTGTGGCGGCAGCACTTTGAAGAAGTTAGCACCGATTCCGGTTGCTATAGCTACAGCTTCCTCTTTTGTTCTCTCGATAGGGCTAAATTTACCCAGGGGGTCGGTCGTTCACAATAGAGCAAAAATGGGATATCCGACAGTGGCGTTCGCCCATTTAACTCTTTAATTTCATGCTGAATCTCAGGTTTTCAACACACTCCGTTTGATTTCCGTTTCAAAATCAGGTTTATTTAACATATCTGCAAATCTAATCTAATCTACAATAAAATATTATTATCTATCTTATCTATCTGCGTTCTAAAACGGTACTTTTCGTTTTTTTTTTTCGAAAATTTTTGTCAAATGCAATAAATAAGGGTTTTAAACTTAATTGTCTTTTAAAAAGACCTCGTATTGGTTCCTTGACGTGCAGATCAAGAAGCCAATCTTGCGAAAAGAGATTGTGGTCCAGATTATTAAATTTAGCGCTAAAGTTATATTATTCTGGTAACTCCCAGCATACATTATGTTCCCTAATAATGATAGACATTTAAGAATGTGTTAATCATTCGAAAGAACCGAAAAAGTTAATTCTTGACACTTTTGTAGCTCAAAGCATAACTTCTATGGCAAACACAAATAATCTTTATTTTGAATTTGTAAAACTCGACTTTGAAGTGGTCTAGAAGTCTCTGGTCTCAATATATAAGTATATTCCCAATTTCACAAATAATGGCAAACGCTCAACCCTGATTGATTTGAAAAATTTATAAAATTGAAAATATGTGGATTATTCTGAAAAGTAAATGATAAGTAGGTTTAGCTGGAATTAAATACAAATACCATATATACAGGGGGGTTCAACAAAGAATTGAATTATTCTGAATAGGATGTTGGAATACAGAAAAAATTGTAAAAAAAATATAAAAATAGGAAAGTGACATGTTTGAAAACAGTTATTACGTGCAAGTAGCGCTTTTCTCATTAACATGACGCAAGTACTAGTTGCCTTATCCATAAATCACTAAAGGTAACATGAAATTAGAAAATAAATAAAAAATTGGGTTGAGATCATTTTACTGATGGAACTATAAATTGTCGCAGAATCTCACAAATCATCAGCTATCACAAAACCGCAAAACTCATCACAAACATGCGTACCTTCACTACCAAACCTCATTTAACAACATCAGTTTTGATTATGTTTTATTTAATTATTATTATTATTATGGAGATTATAAAACTATTGAGAAAAAGCACTTCTTCAAACTTTACTTGATAGGGACTTTCCTTTAAAAGTTCGAGATCAAGGAAATCTGCAAGATACTTTTTAATGGTTATTAATGTCTGGTTCTGGTGCTTGTTTTCATCAAACTCAACATCAATCTTATCGTTGCTCATATAACTTCTGTCTTCAGAAACCATCTACTTAGTTGCAACTTTCACGTTTTAGGCAAAGTTCATTTTCACTTTTTTGGTCACTTTACATTCAGTTTCCCAGCCTAATCAGTTTAAGTGTAGTAAACGCAACGTTCACAAAGGGTAATCTTAGCGAAAACACAAAAACTCTTATAAAACAGAGAAGGAAACCAAATTTCAAGCATACCACAAATGCAGACCAACTACGAATCCTAAATAGATACACCTCAAAGAGCGTCAGAAGAGATATAAGAAAGTTTAAATCTGAAAAAATAAAAAAAGTAATCGAAAACAACAAAAGTTCTTCGAAGAAAGTTCTGTTCCGGTACCAAGAACATCTGTAAACTGCAGAAGGGGCAAGCCGTACTACCTCAAATATGAATGAAATTCTAAAGTTAGTTAAGGATTTTTATACAGAGCTATACAAAGAAAAGAGACAAAATCCTCGTGAGAAATTGCCTCATGTACAAATGTACAAAACCATGGTTCAGATGATATTCCTGGTATTACCCTGGAGGAGATAAGAGCGTCGATGAACGAAATGAGGGACAACAAAGCTCCAGGCGAAGATGAAATTGTTATTGAGTCTTTTAAGGCAGGAAGAAACATATTGCTCAGGAAAAAGTGCATGTCTTCTGATGAGACTAACACCTTTCCAGTGGGATAATGCTACAATAATCATAATGCACAGACCGGGAGATATCGCGAAACTGTACAACTATAGACCGATAAACTTATTGTCACATGTCTACAAACTTTTTATATAGCTAAGCACCTGATACCTAAACTAAATTTATACCAGCCTCGTAAACAGGCGGGATTTAGAGCAGGCTATGGATCACACCTTCAACTTAGTAAGACTCTTCTATGCTGATAGAAAAATGCATTGAGTATAACAAGCGAGTTGTCTTGGTATTCACAGATTTCAAAAAGGCTTTCGACCTTGTAACTCAGCACAAAATGTTGCTGAAATACCTCCCTATTGAAAAACGTATACAAACTGATGTGAAAGATTACATGCAGACACAAATAAATTTCAAATCGAAAGAGGAGTTTGTCAGGGCGACCAATATATCCGAAACTGTTTACCACCGTATTGGAATATGCCTTTAAACGAGTAAACTGGGAAGACATCGGCATAAATATCGACGGAGAGCTGTTGAGGCACATGAGGTTCGCTGATGACATTTTCATAACTTCCGACTGAGTATTGACCAGACTCAGACTATGTTGGAGAGCCTTCATGAAGCGATCACAGAAATCGGTTTTAAGATCAATTTTAAAGACGGGTGCTACTGATGTCATAGAGAGAGTTGCAATCTTGAAGTGGAACTGGGCTGGCCATTTGGCACAAACAGCGGATGGAAGATGGTCAAAGCGGATCCTGGAGAGTGGAGACTACGGCACGAAGCCTATAGAAGCAAAGGCAGAGCACCAACTTGATGGACGGATGATATAAAAATAATCCGGGGAAACTGGATACAGCACGCACAAGACCGAAAGCATTGGCAGATACTAAGGGAGGCCTATGTCCAGTAGTGGACGCAACAGCTGTTTGATAATGATCAAACACAACGTGAATATTCTGTTTCGTATGTAGAATATTGGATCTATTTAGAGCCTCCAGGATGAAAGTAAATATTATGCATGTTTGATATTGTTATAAATTTCATGTTTTGAAAATCCTAACAAGGAATCTAAATTCCAATACACCGAAACGTGGAGATGTTTCTCAAAAAATTCTGTCTGGATACGTGGATGCCCTTGCGATTTTTCATTTAAAAAACCACAGAGTCCTTATTTCTTCAAACACAAACTTTGCCTAAGTTGATGTGTGACTACCTATTGGATGTATTTTTGAAATGTTGTAAGCGCTTAATTAAAAATTGATGCCAATTTTCAATCACCTTCCATATCCGTTAAAGTAATTTGGAGACTCAAACATGGACTTATGTGAATCTAATACTCAACTAATTTTTTCATCTCCTTAGCATGTAAGAAAGTTTGGAAAGTTGATTTGTTTAATGTAGAATTTACTTGCACTCTTTAATGAATAAATAACTACTTGCATCAGCCGTTAGAATTTTCATTGTCTGGCTACCAGTTGAAGAAAAATATCTAGAAATCCCCAAACGCGGATCAAATGCAAACAAAACTACCCTTTAATCTACGCCCTTGGTAAACGAACCCCTAATATTGTCGTCTCTGCGGACCACATCTGTCAATTTTTCGACTCTAGTTTGGTTTGGTGTTGTGCTGTAGTTTCTAGTAAATACTTAAAAGGTGCAATGATGTAAATGGTCCTGTTCAGCAGGAGGATTCTTACATGTTGTGAACTACGAAAAATTGTAATAATTGCAGTTGATCAATGAGTACTTACGTAAAGCAACCAGTGAGCTAAATTGCGGTAGTGAGTGGAAGGGGTGAATATATCTAGTCGTGATTAGTGAGTGACAAACTGGATTAAAGTTAAAATTTATGTGATAAAATTATATTTTATTAAAATTTTAATTTCTTTAAAAAAAGATTTGCGTGATGCTGACGAGTTGTTTGGATCGAGTTATCTAGTTGTGTTCATTGATAAATCAGGTTGCTGTTCGCCAGCTGGCTGCCATCCAAAGTGAGTGTGAAATTGCAAAATTTATTATAAATAAACAATGAAGTCATATGATTGTGATTCCTCCTCGGAAAGTGAAGATGCGTCACACGCCATCTCACGCGGTATGATTCAACCCCCACAGTGGCTTAGGGGAAACTCGATCGGGGCAAACTGGGGTTGGCAAGGGGTTGCTGTAAGTAGATATAAAATCTATAAGTCTCAGCCTTATTGATTTTTTGTAATTTTTGAAACCACCCCAAATGTTCTAGACACACGTGAATCAATTAATGGCGATATTTTTGTACTACTTAGATGCAACGGCTATAAATTAAGTTGTAGATATGTTCTATATTGTTGAGGCGGATTCATTTTTTTACAAACGTCTTCTTGGGTATTTCGCCTCAAATCCTCAAAACATTACCATATTGAGGCGAAATACCCAACAAGAAGTTTGTAAAAAAAATATAAATATCATGTTGGTGCTTAACTCATTTATTTAAAATTTTAAGAAAATAATGGAACACATGTTGACATCTTTAGTAAAGTAATTGGTTCCGTACATTGTGGTTATATTATATTATATGCACATCAGTTGACTTAATTTTTTTTAAGTAATTAACAGAGCTCGGGCGCTTGTCATCAAATAATACCATTTGAGTGTAATTTAATTTATACCAATCGCAATTTACAGTTTTCAGACGTTTGTTTATTTTTCTCAATATCTTGATGTAATTTCTTATGCTTTCGACATTAGATTTTGTAATTTTATGTTTGCAATATTCTTTTAATGCGACTTTTGCAATTTGCTAAATATGCACAGCACTCTACAGTTCGCAACTTCGAAAGAAAATTATTTGAAACCTGTTAAATTTCGTTTTCAATAATTCTTCGCAAGTGTCTATTTTAATTCCATTGAATAAAATAAAGATAATTACTTTCTATTGTAATTTAATGTGTCTTATAAAAAGAAAATAGTTATTTTTTCTGATAATAAACTTTCAAATCGCTAGAAAGTCAATATAAAATAAAGAACAGAAACATAAATGTATCCAAAAACCTGGAGATAGACATTAAAGAAATATTGATAAATTATCTTTAACAGAAAATTTTGATCGAAAAAAAAACAAGAATAGTTTAATACTACCTTAAAGCATTTTTATAGTATTAGATTTACTGTATTTTTTAATCGAAAAAGTTTGTTGACAAATTGAGATTTTAGAACTTGACCGGTTTCTCAATCAATTTTCTGCATGTAAAGGCAAAGCAACCCTGATAATAATTAAAAAATCGTTAATAATAAAGTATTCGAAAACAATTACTGAATATTAAGATGGTTATGGAATACACGAAAATATTCACAAAACCAGCAGTGATAACGTATTAGTTCAACTTTGTAAGTAATAAAATACGTTTAATAATATATCGAAGTAAGGAAACCTGGAATGCACAGTATTTTTCTAAAACATCACATTTTAACTAATAAAAACTCATATACCACAAAGTTTTGAATCATTTGCACTATTGATTCAATTGTAAAAAAAAATACTTTTCGAAAAAACTGTAATCTATATAAGGAGTAAATAAAATAAATATAATTTACATAAAATAATCTACTAATAAAATTAAGTACTAAAGGCACTTCTACAATAAAATTCGTTTTGGAATCGAAAACAACATAACAGTCATATGTTAAACGTGTCTCAAATTCTGTTTTAAACTATTATTAACTTAAAATAATAAATGCGTTTTTTTTTTACTTTAAATCGACACGAACCTGCGTTTATTTGTTTTGTTTCTATCTACATTAACTGTTTTATGTTCTAATTTTTGCTGTTGCTTCCGGTTTTGTGCAGAGTAGATACATGATTTTTGATCAACTTTTCTTTTTTAGGGCAGTTCTACCGGACCAAGTTCTTCGGCAGCAGCAATGGACCATCCACAAAGTTATTCTTCGTTTCCAGCTGCAAATTCTCAGGACGAATCTCAAGTTCCAGGTCGACGGACACCGTTAGGGACGGTGAGTTTAGGAGGATTTTACTTTCAAGGATGTCAACAGAACGTGACCACGCCTCACGGTCCACCTTCGGACGAAAATAATCCCGATCCTGGTTGTTCAATTCAACATAGCAGCAGGTATGAATCATTTTTATGTATATCTTAATTTGAGTCATAAATAAATTTGAAAAATATTTTAACAGAGCTTTTCAAATTTATTTAAAATGTATAAAAGGACAAGATAAAATAAAATTAGAAAGAACGAACATTTTTAATAAAGAATTGTATCTTAGGAATCATTTCATAGTTTCAACTTTTCGACTGCAGTTTTTAAATAAAAAAGAAAGTATTGTATATGCTAAAGTGAGCCCCACGATCCATTTTGTTACTTTGAATGCTGAAGGCTGAAAATTTATGAAAGAAAATTATGATTTCCTATTGATTAATGAGATTAATAGTAGCGATTTAAGAGTAAAAAATCAGTGTTTTTAAAACTTAATTCAGACTGAAAGAACCCTATGTATTTGATTATTAAGCGATTTGTTTGTATTTAGATGGATTTAGAAAATTTTATTTAAAAAAGAACTAAATGTTTTTTGAAAACCAAGAATTATGCTTAAAAGACCCAAATAACAGCATTGAATTTTCTATTATCTTATGTCATCAAGCTCAATGCTGAATACATGTTTTTAGTTAAGACTAAATTGCATACAATAACATTTTCCTTAACATAAACATTTCAAATAGAATCCCGAAAATCCGAGTGAACGAGCTTGGAATCAATAAAATGTTCTTTATTCTTCAATTTTAATTTAATAAATGATTTTTCTAAGAAGCTGATTATAATAACTTGCCATACTGTATTCAAATACGGCTAATATTTATTATTCGATACCTTTACCTGCAATATAAGTTGTAATATTACAGGTTTCTATCCACTTTTTTGCGTCTTTGAACTTTTGAGTCATTTCCGACCCGACATTTGCAACAGGATATAAAGTAAAGGAAAAATATTTTGTTATTTCATACAAATTTGTAGGCGTAATTTATAGGTTTTAATTGTTTTAGTTAAAGAAAAATTGGTGGTTCTGAAATATACCGACATAACTGAATATATGCTAATTATTATAAACGCGATTTATTTTAGAATACAGTAAAAATTTATAATTTTTGAGTAGATATAAAGAAATCTACTTTTGATAAACAATGGATCAGAAAGAAACTAGTCCACTTAAAATAATTGTTTAATAATCATCATCAATAATCAGTTTTTGCTGGTAAAATTATAGCTTTGTACGTTTATTCCTTTTTGTAGTCGCAATAATTCAAAAACCACCTAAGATTTTGATATAGTTCTACAATTCTGAGCAGTTGTTCATTTAGAAAAAATATCTGTTTGATAACCCTAAAGTAGAATAGATTGTTCGAATTTGGACCACGCTGTATATTTGTACCAAATAAAAATTATGCTGGTCGTTTTTTGCAGTAGCGAACCTATGCGGAATAATTGTAAAAACGTCTTGTACTTCAAAAACTAGTATACAATAAAATATATAAATAAATTATGTAAAAATTGTTAAAAATTTACATTAAACTCATTAATTAAGAATTTAATAATTACCAGAAAAAAAATATAACGAATCTGTGATTTTCGAAAACAAAAAAAAATTATGTGGTTGCAAAAGTAATTTCTTCCCTATGATTGACGAGCGCTTTAAAAAAACTGTAGCAACCTCAGCATCTGCAATAAAAAAATTATTAGATCTAAACAATTATGGATAAAACAATATTCTACAGAATATCATATACGTTTTTTCTATTTTTGCCTGTTTAGTTTCGAAGTTGTAGAGAAATTAAACTTAAAATT